CCCCCCCCCCCAAAAAAAAAAAAAATTGAAGTTCATTAATGCATTAATCATCCATCATCCCCATAAGTCCTTCAGGGTACTGAAGGTGGGTGGGCAAGCTGTAGACACAAATACATGGAGCTGGCCAGTAAGAAACTGTTGGGGAATGTCCTGATCTGTTTTGGTCCAAAGGAGTCATATTGCTCAGGTTTTCAGTCTCTGGCAGAAACCATCCCTTAAAGCATAGAATGTCCTGGCCCAGACATCAGCTGGGGTGCACCGTCCCTCGGCCTGTCCCTGCAGAAGCCCCCGTGACACGTAGCAGGGTGTGCTGCTGGATCAGTGCCATGCTCCCTGCAGGACGCTCTCCTTCAGGTGTCCCATGCAGCGAGCGGATTCCAGTCCCTGCATGATGCCCTGGTGGGAGGGGGCAGTTCTGGCACTCCCAGGGTATCATCAGCGTTGTGGCCACAACAGCTCCTTTCTTTGCAAGATCTCAGGTCCCTCCATCTTGTTTATCACTGCTAGAGTATCTCCTGGCTATCTTCCGGTAACAGCAGTACCTACAAATCAGCATGCCATCCTGCATTACTCAAGACACACACACTGATGCGGGCTTAACATCTTGATTCTGGGTCCCAAAGAACATTGCTTTAGCCCAGCTGAAGAGGATGACACCACTCTTGGAAGCTGCAAATTTAAACATGTAGGCTGTAGTCAAAGCAATTCTTTCTCTCTGGGGATGTATGCCTTTGCAGGACGCTTATTTTTGGAAGTTGGTCTTTCTACTTCTGCTGCTCAATAAAGCAAAAACATAATTAATGTTGTGGATTTGTCTATTCTGTAAGTTTGTTTTAATTTCTGCTGAATTTAGTTAGCCAGTTCTCTTTCAGAGGGTTTGCATTTCTAGATTCACCTTGTGTCTTCTTTTTCCAGCTCCTCATCACTCCAGTCTTCTGTTCTTTACCTCCGTGCTGGCCCTGCTAGCCCCTCTTCTTGCTCTGGACATTGAAAACCTGGGAAGATTGCATGCAAATTTAGATGAAATTGCTAATCTCCATTCAG